GGAATGATTGCAAAAACAGTATAGGAAAGTTCACTTCAATTCATCCTGCCCTGGATGTTAACATCTTATAACCATAGTCATTCATCAGAAACTTCCTTATTACTGGTGAAATTAGTCATAATTACTTGGTTAAGGTGTCATCTGTCATGATTTGTCCACTATAAGGTTAGTTTTTCCTTTTCTTTTTTTTTTTTTTTTTTTGAGACTGAGTCTCACTGTATCAACCCAGGCTGAGTGCAGTGGCGCGATCTTGGCTCATTGCAACCTATGCCTCCAGGTTCAAGCAATTCTCCTGCCTTAGTTCTCCCAAGTGGCTTGGGATTATGAGGCTATGCAACCACACGTCGGCTAATTTAATTCTTGTTATTTTTTAGTAAGATGAGGTTTCACTATGTTGGTCAGGCTGGTCTCGAACTCCTGACCTTGTGATCCGCCTACTTTGGCCTCCCAAAGTGCTGGGATTATGGGCGTGAACCACCACACCAGGCCACTTTGTCTGATAGTTTGAGACTGTAAATATCCTTTTTCCACTTACACTTTCCATAATTTTAGCATCCACCAGTGGTACCTTTAACTATTTTCTAGCCAGGCATGGTGGCTCTCACACCTGTAATCCCAGCACTTTGGGAGGCCGAGGTGGGCAGATCACTTGAGGTCAGGAGTTCGAGACCAGCCTGACCAACATGGTGAAACCCAGTCTTACTCGAAATACAAAAACCTTAGCCTGGCATGGTGGCACAATGCTGTAATTCCCAGCTGCTTGAGAGGACTGAACAGGAGAATCACTTGACCCAGGAGGAAGAGGTGCAGTGAGCTGAGACCACGCGCTGCACTCTACACCCTGGCGAACAGCGGACCCTGTCTCAAAAAAGAAAAAAAAAAAATATCGCCAGCCGCGGTGACTCACGTCCTGTAATGCCAGCACTTGGGAGGCCGAGGCGGTGATCACCTGAGGTGAGAGTTTGAGACAAGGCCCTGGTCACATAGTGAGAACCCGTCTCTACTACAAGTACAAAAGTTTAGCCGGGCATGGTGGTAGATGCCTGTCCAATCCCGCTACTTGGGAGCTCAGGCAGGAGAAACTCACCTGAACCGGGAGACAGAAGGTTGCATGAGCCGAATTGTGCCAATTCACTCCAGCTGGATGACAAGAGCCGAAACCTCCGTTCTCAAAATATATATATATATATTATATTTATTTTGTTTTTAAATATATATTTTAATACATATATTTTGAGATTGGAACAAC